ACTGCGTCTCCTCAAGTCCTCTCCACTTAGTAGTATTGGATGAAGTCATCACCTTCCCGCTGCTGTGCATAGCACGGTGGGTTGAGGAATTGAAACGTGAACTAACACATCCCAATTAGGCAATGTGGGATGTGGTGTGGGATATCTCCACCACTGAGATCCTACTCCACTTTCTTGTCAGGGGGTTGATGACTCCCGATATTGGCGACGGACTTAGATGTTGCCGAAAATTGCGGTCACATTTTGAATCACATTGCAGATCCTTTGTGTTGCACTGTAAGTTCTTGGCCAAGGGCGACGGGATCTACAGCATTGAATGGTTGGTCCATCGAAGCGAGTTTAGTTGTCGCTGGCACTGATGTTGATGGCGGGGGCCCGGCCGCCGTATGTCAGTCAACCTATGGTATGGCAAGAGTCAGAAAAGTTGAAACCGATCTTCAAAAGAAACGATCTTGAAGAAAAGAAATTGTGTGCGTGTGCACTAGATTCGATGATATTGCTTTCTAACAGTTTTTTACCACCAGACTTTTGTTGTGATTAGAACCTGCAGATGAGACGCTAGGGTACATACACATACATGGTCAGTAAGTCGTGCTCCTCAACGAAAAGAGTAACGGCAAAGTGCCTGTTTTGAATTCCAGCCAACCTAAACTTATATTTTAGAAAAGATTCACTGAAAAGGCTTCAACCAAGCCGAGTCTCTCACAATCTTTCACTAGTAAAGTGCTAGATTTGGTCTGGCGATATGATACCACAACGTAATCGAAGTTTTCAAGTTTACTTGTACTACTACGATCTCAAATTCAAAATGGGGTTCCCGTTTACCAATGTCATCTATGCCACTCGTCTTTAACAAATTGCTGCCTTGCTTAAGACTCCCTCAAGACCTTAACCTCCTCTTCCGAAACCAACACAAAATCATACGTCAAAAGCCGCGTCGACGGCCTCACACCGCACTTCTCAGCCAACCCATCAACATCCGAGACAGTCTTCAAGTCCACGATAAGCGACTCCTTGACTCCAAAGACCGCATCCGACCTCTCAAAGGGATCTCCACGAAGATACAAAGCTCTGTGTCCGCGTCAGAAAGAAACCCCAGTATCAGAGTGAACATGCCAAAATGCCAAAGAGAACTTACGTGATGAGACGGTCATATCCAGGCTTATCAAACATGAAATGAAAGTGACTAGGCCGGTACCGGTGCCTCCCCAACGTCGCCAATAACCTCCCAACAGGTCCATCTCCCGGAATAGGATACGGCACCGGCACGATCGCCCGAAAAAAGAACCCTCCCCCCTCATCGCTCCTGACAACCGCCCGTCCGTCGGGGTTCTCGTACCCGTCATACTGAACATCATAAAACCCCTTTGAATCCGTCTCCCACACATCAACCTTAACCCCCGGAATCGGCACCCCTTGCGTGTCCCTGACCGTCCCCACAACAAGCATCGGCTCCCCATCCCCATCCCTCGAAATCATCTCCCCGTGCGGGACGTCCTTCGCCTCGTGGGTGTGAAACGGGCCGAGGACGGTGCCCTCCGTCGCCCCGATCCCGGGCGGTTTCGGGTGGTCCAGCGAGTCGACGAGGAGGGAGAGGCCGAGGACGTCGGAGAGGAGGACAAATTCCTGCCGAACGGAGGTGCAGGTCTTGCCGACGTCTGTGAGGAAGGCGATGGCGGTCTCCCATTCTGCGGTGGTGAGGTTTGTTTCGCGGGCAAAGTCGTGGAGGTGGGTGACGAGCTTTTCTAGGAGAAGGCGCGTGCGGATGTCGGCGCATTTGGAGTTGATGGCGTGGACGTTTTCTGTGATGTTGGATATTGTTAGGTCTTTGAGGGGTGGGTGGGAGAGATCTATCTCGGAGAAGTCCATTGTGGCGGTCATGAGTGTATGAGGTGGAGATCGACGCCGGATACAAGGTCTTGTTGGAAGAAGGCAGACGAAGAGCAGCTCGAACATATCATAAGAGTATATCAAAGTCAGCTCGAAACTGAATTTTTCATGATTCAGCTAGAACAGCCCTTGAAAAACACGGTCTACGCACCGTCCTCCCGCACTTCCGGACAGGAGTGTGTGGGGAGGTTTAGCGAAGTGAAAAGATAGACATCTCGCATAACCAACCAACGGAACACAAATTGCTCTTTCATGGCAGAGAAAGCTCAGTCTCTGTTCATCTCGATTCGTCCTAGACCTCCAAGCTACCTCACAGCCCCTCCCCCTCCCCCGCGACTAATCAACACTACCCGCCCCCGGATATCATCCCACTTCGTTACCCCACAAAGTCATATGTCCGTGAGCATCCCACATAGCCCGTTCTCTTGCTGACGACTCGCAATGAAGAGGGAAAGAAGGGGTTATTCACGTCAAGTACAAGGAGAAACTTGGTTGCCTCCACCAAGCTGGCTTTATGTGACAGAGTATTGATTCTAGAAAACTCGAATAATAATAACGATTATAATTCATCGCCAAACATCCCATTCATGACGAGCAGTAACAGAGCAAGTTTCGTATACCAAAGCCGTGAATAGTTTTTCTCTTAAAGGAGCCTTTGCCAAAGCATCTACCAAATCAGACCCTCTCATCCACATCCAACTCATCAAACATGGCATCTCAAGACCACCATGGTATCCAAAAAGTAAAACCAACACCATCACACCGCAAATCCCCCATATCCAACCCTTCCTCTCTACCCTACACTTCAACTAACCCTCCGACCCCAGGTAATAGTAATAGGCACAGGCCCAACAGGCCTCCTCCTCTCCCTCCTCCTCGCCCGCCACTCCATCCCCGTCCTCCTCCTCGACAAATCCACCTCCCTCGACACCCAGCCCCGCGCAACCCACTACGCCGCCCCCGCCAACCGCGTCCTCTCCCGCGCGAACCTCCTCGCCCGCGTAAGGCAGCACGGCATCGAAGTAGGCGGCGCCCGCTGGCGCAAACCAGACGGCACCGTCCTCGCCAAGATCGAGAACAGCAGGCTCGGCGCGGAGAACCCGGACCGGATCTCGTGTCTGCCGTTGAACGCGCTGTGCAAGATGGCGCTGGAGGATCTCGAAAAGGAGCCGGCGGCGGAGGTGAGGTGGGGGTGTGAGGTTGAGGGGATTCGGGAGGAGGAGAGCCGGGGGAGGGCGGTGGTTGTCGTGAAGACGGAGGAGGGGGCCGAGGAGCTGGAGGCTGATTATGTTGTTGGATGTGATGGTGCGAATAGCATTATCCGGAGACAGCTGTTTGGGGACGATTTTCCTGGGTATACGTGGGACTTGCAAATTATTGCCACAAACGTGAGTAGAAACTCCATTTCCTTCCTCATAGAGAGGCCAGCGGCAGAAATGCAAACAGCCCCAGAAGCGAATAGGATGCTAAACACATAGAAACAAAAGGTCTACTACGACTTTGAAAAGTACGGCTGGAAAGACTCCAACTTTGTCATCCACCCAACGGACTACTTCATGGCCGCCAAGATCCAAGACGACGGCCTCTGGCGCGTCAGCTACGGCGAGGTCCCCGGCCTCAGCCACGACGAGTACCGTGCCCGCCAGCCCGCGAAATACGAAACCATGCTGCCCGGGAACCCAAAAGCCAACGACTACCGAATCGTCAACTTTAGCCCCTACAAGGTACACCAGCGTCTCGCGCCGCGGATGCGCGTGGGGAGGTTCATCTTGGCTGGGGATGCTGCGCACTTGTGTAACCCGTTGTAAGTGCCCTTCGTACCCATGACACAGGTGGAAGACAAAGGGGAAAGACGAAAAAAGAGAGAAAGGAAAATCCTGCCTGGCACCCATCTAACCTCTCGGCCCTCGGCCTCCACAGCGGCGGCATGGGCCTCACGGGTGGCATCGTCGACGTAGGCGACCTCTTCGACTGTCTAGCAGGCATCCACGACGGCCGAGCCGACGATGACATACTCGACAAGTACGACCGCTACCGACGAGAAAAGTTCAACCAGTTCACGAACCCGGTCTCCGAGGCGAACCTCAAGAGGATGGCCTCGGACCCGGACGAGGTCGAGGCCAACGACCCAGGGATTGTCGCCATGCGTGAGGCGGACAAGACTGACGAGGCTGCCGTCACGTTCCAACTGGTATGCTTGTTTGTTCTTTCTTACCCTTATTCTCTCCTGGCTAGCTTTTGGCGGAGTGATGATCTGATATGCCAACTTGTATAGGGTATACTGGGGCTTGCCCATGATATGACGCAGTATTATAAGAAATAGTAACGGCCGGGGTGAGAGTCATCTCAACTATTGGATTCGCGATGCTTCAAAGGCAGACTTGGAAAGATGTGATCTGGACTACGTAGAGGGGTTGGGATGGAGAGACGCGCACCGCCAACTCAAGTTCAGGCTCTAGACACACATCAGTACATATGCATTGGTCGTTACAGATAACTACTTGGTTGCTATTGCCAGTGCCCATTGTTCCGGGACCCAATTCAACGCCTACATATATGATATGCTGTGTCAACCATCATCTGGAGAGTCACCAGTGCATCCACCCGTCCACAGAGCAACCGCCGTCTCGAAGACGGAAATAAGAGTCTTCGAGACGAAGCCTGAGCGTCTGACCAAGGAGGACCTCCAGCCACGATGCTGCCTATCCTGATGGCTCGGAGATCCAGAGTACCACTATGGCAATCCAACCACTCGATTGCGTTGCGACACGAGCCTCCGTCGTGTCCGTATGCACTGGCATATTAGTGTGGTATCATCCACGTAAGATTTGCAGCCCAAGCCAAGCTCGGCCAAGGTTTCCACGTGCCGGCGATGATCATGTCGCTCGTGCGGAATCGATCTTCGAGCTCGATGACTTCGTCATTCGTCGAATGAACAAGAGCGAGTAAGAATGAAGCAAAGAGATAGTGTGTTCGTTCCTGAAACAGTACCTCACTCGAACGACAGTGACATGAAGTGATCTAGCGTACTAAACTACAGAAACTAACACTGGACGTATTACCCACCTGCGGATTTGGGGACCGACAATGCAACGGCGGGTAAATACAACCTACGCAATGCGCAAAGATTGAAGGAGAGTAAGTCCTGTCGCCGACTTGGGACCGAACTTGGGATGGTCCTTGCAGTGGGGGGCCGCCGCGGACGTGCCATTACCGAATATACGGCGCTGACAGCAGGCGACGTTGTTTCGAGGGACACGGAGAGGTGGCTCGCCGAGATGATCTGGAGAATTGCAGCTCGCTTCAAACGCAATGCAAGATTCGACATTATCGGCCGATTATGGAGAGGGATTGGTGATCTACTGATCGACGGAGCCGGCTCATCTTCAAGAGGATCCTGATCCCGGAGCTGCAAGATGGGAACGACTGCTTTTGAAGAGTGAGCCGAGTTGTCAGACTTTAGAAAGCTGCTCTAGTCTTACGAAACCACGCGCTATTCTCGGCCTGTGGCCATCGTGTAACCCCAATTGGCTTGAAGAGATTGGCTGATTGACCGAAATCTTCGTTCCTTGACGCGAAGGGTTGACACGCCAAGAAAGGGGCCTTGAAGGCACCCACGCCCTGTCGCAATGCCGGTTCGCGGCGAAGGGGCAAAAGCTGGAGACTTTTGAGCGATCCGCCGAAGAATGTTCGTCATGCAGGCAGGCCGTGGACTTGCGGAGTGCGAACAGGTTGCGCTTTGACACGTTGACTTGACGTCGGAGGTGAAGAAGGGTCGTGAGGGTCTTCTCGACGAACGCCGACTGGCACGACGGCAAGGAAACTAATGACATGGAAGCTCTGTCGGTGTGTTTTAGGTTTTGTCAGTTTAGCGCGAACATCAATCAGGATGGGGGCCGCCAGTGTTGGAGATTGAGTCGCTAGAAGGCGGGCTTGGATGCGAGTGGGAATGGGGGCCGAGCCCGCCCTTACTCGAAGGGGGAACTGTTGGCCAGTGAAGCAGGGAGAAGGTCGTGTTCCGCAAATGCATAGATTGTAAGCAAAGCCGTTGGAATGTCATTGGAAGTGACCAGCGATCCCGCGGGGGGATGCAGCTTGCGGTGGTGTGGTGGACTGGTGATGGTGGTGGCCGGGACACCTTCTCCCGTCGAACTCCTTGCCTACTTGTACAGTACACTAAGTCAATGACGCCCGTACGAAGGCGGTGTGTTGCAGCGTCTGTTGTAGTGCAAAGTTTCTGGAAATCCAATGGTTTTTGGGCGAAGCGATTGGTAGAGCGCGAGACCTCCATTACTGAGCCAGGTCGTCAGCAACGCGTCGGTGTCGACTCCGCCGTCAAAAGGGCTGGTGGTGTCACAGACCTGCAGGTCCAAACACGGACAATTAATTACCATCGCTAATAAGACGTCGGCATTTGGGGGCCAAGCAGATCTCTAAGATGAGAGAGTGCCTCACTGCCTGGTCTCATATTCGAGTTTTCAGAGAGAAATGGCAATGAGTGCCACTGTCGCGATGATCTGTCGCATTGCTCGAGTGGAATATGAGGGTCCTGGTTGCCCGGGGCTCCTGGAATCATGATTCTGACATGAACATCTTTTCCAAAGAAGGGCGCAAACACCGTAGATGACTTGGTAGCGAGGGGGAAGGGGCTGTCAATGTCATAAGCCTCGTGGTGCTCGACGGTCCCTCGCATAGCAGGCCCGCGAGACCTAGACACACAGACTATGTTCCATCCCGCCGTCCTGTAATCCCACGATGGACACTCGCTCCGCTCGCAGGCCGTCAGGTGTGGGAGCTTGGGACTCGGGAGGGGAGAGGCTTTCCTGTGTAGTGATGTTAACCACTGGCAGGAGGGTGTCGAAGCAAGCGAATAAGCGATGGGCACGAGGTGGCGGAAAAGGTGGCGCAATCCAGCGTCTGGCACGGGCCTCTGGATGCTAAAAGTTGGTGTCTGCATCGATTCAGGGGAAGTCCATGGGTAGGTATCTGCATGTGCTTTCAAGTGGGCGCAAATGAGTGGGCGTATTCGCGGCGTGAGAATGGACGCGATTGGATCGAGGGCGGCCGAGGTAGCGTATGTGTGGGCGGGAAGAAAGGCAAATGTCAAGCTCGCGACAATAATAGCCACGATAAGACGATTCGACGAATGAGATATGGCATGTTCGTTGTGGAAGGGAAGCTGGCGGATTACCGGATAGTCGTCTTTGTAATGGCGAAAGTTGCCATCGCGTTTGGTTCTGACGTGAAAATGTGTGTGTGCGTGTGTACGTTGTTGATCTAGTTGATCCACCATCCAGCTTTTGCTGGTCACTGCTTTTCCTGGTCTAGGATGGACAGCTTTCCTTCTCGGAACGCGGAGGTGTCAAAGTATCCGCATCGTGAGGTGGGATTGTCGTCAAGGAACGGACGGCCCCAAGAACGACGAATTGGTAGAGACACAGGCGGTATCCGTGGATGTTGGTTTTGATAGATGAACATTGTCGGTCCCGCAGGATGTTGAAGTCGTATCGGTAATGAGCATCCGCCATGAGCAATGCCAGCCAGCCAGCGATGGATCTGTAGGACTGTGAAGGACTCTGTGCCGCGTCTTGCACCCAATTGACGGTTGACCAAGCCATCAGCCATCAGCCTCTGGCGACGGCTTCACGAAGGCCGACGGTAGTGTCTGGGATCCCCTTGAGATTGGCTTCTCCTTTGGGACAAGAGCAATGGTGGGATGGATGCATCTTGCATTACCCCTGCAGCCCTGTCTCCTCTTGTCCCGTTTTTTCTGGACACTTCTGGTCTTTGTGGTGGAAGAATGTAAGGAAGGATTGGAGGGGACAGTGCAGGGTGGTGCCCGTCAGAAAAGGAGGCTAGTCAAGGACGGCAAGCCTGCCGTCGGTCGCGGTGTCAAGGTGTCTGGCGCTTGTGGTGGTGTCTCGTGTCTCGCAGGCCGGCCATGTTTTGGGGTGCCACGACGGCGTCCAAATCCTACACTGCCATGGCGTAGGTAGGCTCTCCCAGTCTAGGTATTGTGTAAGGGTCAACGGCAGCAGGTTCATATCGATGATGGTTGTGGCAGATTGTTTCTTTTGCATTGCTCATCTGGCTCGGTTTCCATCATCCATGGCGCGAACGCGAAGCGATGCGGTTGTCTTCGAAAGAGCCCAATGGCGTTCTGGAAATGAGGATGGCAATGATTGGTGGGATTGAGGGCGGTTGGAGAGAACAGGACGTGCTCTGCAGAGAGGGATTGAGATGAAGCGGTTATTTCTTTGTTCTTTGCGGGCGGTCAAGATGACGAAGGTTAGTGAGTATACTTGGTCACAAGTATCGGTAAGCCGGGAAAGCAGAGTAATAGATGACTCTATAGACAGTAAAAAGAGAGTGACAGAACATGGAGAAAAAAAGGCAATAAAACAATACTACCAAAAACAAAAGAAGAAAGGAGGGGTTCACTGCCAACTGGGGGCAAAGGAAAATGGGAAAAGCAGTGAAAAAGGAGAAACCCTGCAGTTGCAGCGGACCTGGACTCTTTACCCATTCGGGCCAGTTTGGCTGTGTGCTTTCCTCATGTTCCCCAGCAGCAGCCAAGGGCAACGGCGAGAAATGACATGGAAGGTGCGTCCTGACGATTCCTGACCACATGTCGCAAGGCCCGTGACATTTCTCGACTTTTTCTGTGGATTTTCTAGGTACCGTGCCTTGCGAGGAAGCTCTCATGCGTTGGCTCTTTCCTCGTTTCTTACAGTTGCGGATACGTACTTGTAATGTGGTGGTTGAGGCAAGTGCAGCTCGAAATTTAGGATAGTGGAGGAAAGAAGGCACTGGTGGACGTGGCAGGTGCGAAGGACCATGGGATGGATGCCCTCAAAAATACATGGAAGGAAAAGTTCCTTCGTCTGGTATCTTGGTGTTTCTTTTGGTATTTCTGCATCTGTTGGATGTTTCTTCAACCTGCTTCGTCAACCATACGGGGCATCGACCACCTTACCTACCTTACCTTAGGTAGTAAGCAATACTTGCCCGTACGTACATCGACTAATAAGGCAAAGTCAGACGGACATATGGTCGTCGTCGTTGTCGTCGTCGTCGCCCTTATTCAGCATCGGATATGATGATGTGGAATATTGGCGTCCGTGCTCCCTATTGCTCTTTCCCTTGCATATTGATATTATTGTTGTTATCGTCTCGTCTGGTGTTTCTCTTGCCTGGGCCCGACTTTTCCTGACAGGGACAGGGACGCTCCGCAAAACCGACCGAGAAGAGACGCCAACATGAACGTCCATGGACCGGCGCATTCAAAGTCCCGTATCACTTGCATCCTCTCTCACAGAAACTCCGTACTCCCGTACTCTGCATCCACCCGGAGTAGGGAGTTGGGAGTACATACCAAGGCACCTTGGTTCATGTCGTGTCGCATGCGTTGTGTAATTAGAATGTCCTGCCAACATGCAGGTCCGCACAGAGATACACACAAGAGAGAGTCAATACATGTAGCACCATCAGCAGCAACACGGACGCTACGTCTAATTACCTGATAGAATATGGACCCTTTACGGATATCATAATCCGAAATTCTGCAGACCTTCAACGTTGATACCAGCCCAAAAAGACCAAGGTCTCAAGTTCCATCCATGTCCCGCCGGAAGGACCACAGTAATACTTGCCTGAGATATTGTCCGCTGTTCATTTTCTAGCTTTATTGACCAGGTTCCTATTCGTAGCAGTCCCGGATCTCATCCCCATCTGTGTTCTGTGACTGTCAAGTATGGATATCCCAGCCCCTGCCCGGTCTTTCTCCTAGTGTACGGATAGGCTGCCCATCAACGAGATTCCTTGTCATGCCTTGCTTGACCCTAATTACGCCGTACCTTCGTGGTGGTACCTTAATTACCTCGCCTTGGAGCTGGTGTTTGCAGGTACCTATCTGTACCTTGCTACGTATCCAAGGTAGTGAATTTGCTTGTGGCCATTCCTCCTCTTCCCTTCTGCTTCTTTTCCTTCTTTGCACTTTTCCCACGTGTGTTTCGTGGCTTGTTGTTCATCAACAACACCTTATTACCAAGCCAACAAATCAGACCTCCCAGATACCTTGCAAGACTTTCTCCCGTACCTTAGCTAAGTAAGCCAAAAGTCAACAAACCCATCCATCCATCCATCATCCATTTACCTGTCTCGCCGCCTCCCTTCTCTAACTGCTTGTGCTTCAAGCAACCAAGCACCCGACCACCCACCCCCTAGTGCCCTGGCGCCGCAAAACATCCGAACTGTGACGAATGCACACCTGCATCTACCGTCCCTTACCGCACCCCATCCAACCTTGCCATACGCATACTCCGTACGGATACACCACGCTTCGCATACCACTTCCACTTGGACTTGGTACACTCCAGTCTCCGCATACAGAATACTTCCAGCTATATCCATCTCTACCACGCAGTCCATACTCTGACGATCCAATTCGAACTACTAATACTTCTTAACCCTGCGCTCGCCCACTGCCAACACAACCTCGACCTGTGTTGCGCGCATCTGCGGATACCTCCCAAGCTAGCAGTCGCACCGTCGCCGTTTTCTCGTCGCTAGCACAAGACATAAGTGAACCACTTCATACACCACACCCTCACCCTCGTCCACGTCCACGTCCACGTCCTCGCTCTCATCCTCCACCCCTCGCCCGTCGACGGCCGATCACCACCATCCATCCGGGGCCTAGCAAGTCCTAGGTCAGGGGAAGATTGAGGGTAGCATCCATCGCCTCTTTCGGAGCATCGTACCAACTTTCAAGGCCCGTCACTCTTACCCCCCAACATTCGCCTACTGAATACCCGGTCTCAATACTACCACTACTAGTACGAATACACGCTACCAACGACGGATACTAATACATAATCAAACCTTCCCGCGCACATTTTCCCGTTCCTCGTGGCACTCTTGGCCTTTGAATGCCCACCCGCCCATGCCAAACGGGGGAAAACGGCAAAAGCAACACCAGAGAAAAAAGCAACCTGAACAGCTGCCCACTTCAGAAAAGAAACATTGCTGCAACGTTGTCCGCTAACACCTGACACCACCCCCCAAAAGACCCAAAGAAAGGGTCCAAAACGGGACTCGCTCGAGTCTTCATTTCGGCCACTCATTACTCGGTTGGGACTCGTTCACCCCGGGAGACAAAGCCGACCCGCGACACCGAAGTTCGAACCCGGCCTTGTGGACATTGCGACGCCTGAGAAGCCCACTTTGACCGTCAGTCTGCCTGTTCAAGCCTGCCCGCCGCCTGCTGTTCAAACTTCAAGGACCTCCCTCCAGGCTCTGAATCCTGTGAGCCCGCCAGCAGACATCGACTGATTCTTACGGCGCCGCCATCGCCGTCGGATTGGATCGCTTGACCTACTGGCGTCGCATTGGATCAACTGCGTTGCACAATATTGGGGCGCGTCCCGACTCTTGTCCAGCGGCCGCACCTTGGCATCTATTTGGCGCCGGCCTGCTTGCTGCTACTACTGGCGACTACTACGGCACCTTACTGCATATGCGCCTTGCGCTTGCGCTTGATCGGATTGGATCTGGAAATGACTTGAAAACCCTTTTCGACCCCCACGATACCCTTCCGTCCCCCCTCCTTCATCATGTACGCCGACACCCCGAGACGTTCCAGTCGTCGCCGTCCCGACCTCAACATCAACACCTCTCCTCCGCCCGCCGCCTACTCGAACAGGCCCGCCGCCGTTGTCGCGTCAAGAGGAGAACCTACAACTGCGCCGCCAGTCCCTCAAACACCACCACCGAGTAACAGGAACAGGCCACCGCCGCCTACTTCGTCCTCATCCGTCGCCAAGGGCAAATCCAACAGTTCTCGGGCACTACGAGGCCCTGCTCTCTCTCGCCATGCCGACGACTCTTTCTTGGTAGACACTCCCGATTCGCCCGACAGCTTCGACATGTCCTCGAATAAAGAAAACGATAATCCCGACCAATCACGCCCCCGCGACTCCCACGATCTCTCATTGTCCCCGCGAAACGTTACACGCGACTCCCTCATGGCGAATATGCTCATGTCTCTCGACCAATTCTCCATGGGTGGCCCAGTCGGTGGCCCCTTTGGCAGTAGCCCGCCAAACATGCATGACGAGCCTTCTCAGCAGTACCAATACGATACCGACGG